CTAACTAGCTACAAACTCTACTCTCTTAAGCCTGGTTCACAGGTGATCGCCCTCAATCACCAGTGATCGCACTCAATCACCAGTGATCGTCTGCGATCATATGTGAACAACTCTGCGATCAGGTGCGATCGCGATCACAGGAATACAACCATGTTCTATCCGTATGATCGGTTGCGATCGTGTGCGATCAAGTTCGATCATATGTGAACAAAGTTCTGCGATCATGCGATCAGAATGTGTCCCATAATGCTATGTTTTCCCAGTGTGAAGCACTGCAAGCAGCATGATACCATGAAAACCAGTTTTTTTTGTCAACTTTTACATGTGTGTGTGTGTTTTGACAAGATGGAAGGTGAAATTGACACAGAACAGTTTATGGAAGAAATTAGAAAATATGATTGTTTGTTCAGTCACTTTAGCAATGAATTCTCTCTTTCTTAAGACTTTCCACACCAAGAAGCGACATTGCTTCTTTAATCTAGCAATGATTTTCCATTTAAGTAAAGACAGCAGAAGCAGAATATTAGCACCAATTAAAAGTTCAGCATCCTCTGTGTCCATGTTGGTTGACTGGAGTTACATTGTATTGTTGCTGAATCGTAAATCGTAGACTCGGTTGTCACAAATTGCTGCAATTGGCTGCGATCATATGTGAACATGCGATTCACGATCTTTGGTTGAGTGGTTTCAGCAATCATGTGATCACCTGCGATTGTTTGCAATCATCTGCAATTATATGTGAACCAGGCTTTAACAGGATGGTGTCCAGGAGGTTGCTTCGGATAAAGCCAGTGACTTATGATGTGTTTTTTCTGTTTACAGATTCCAAGGGGAAGCGACCATTGTTTTGCCAGTTTGTCAATCCGCTCTCTGAGGAAAAGGAGCCCTTTAAAAAGAAACCCTTTGTGAGTTTTTGTAAACATTTCTTGATTATGATTAAAAAACAGCATAATCTAGGTTTGAATTGTAACTCTGAAAAACCATAATAGATGTTTTTTTTATTTTTCTCTTGAAAGAAGCTGAATGTTTTTGAACTTTCAAAACTAGTGTATCAAAAGCTAACAGTAATGTAAATTTGATCAATTGTTCTTTGCATGGTATCATTAACTGCATTTGCTTTGTCTCACTTTGAAGGCTGTCATACTGGAAGGTCGCTATTGGAGGAGAAAGTTGGAGGCTGTAGCTAGAGAGTACAAGAAACTAAGAATATATTACAAAAAGGTCTGTGAAATGTCATCGAGTAGAGTACAGTAGAGTAGAGTAGAGTAGACATCTATATTTATACAGGATAGCCCCTTCAGGGTGGTAAACACTGGTATCAACAGGGGTCCTGTTACCCACCCATCCCATACCCACCCATCCCACCCCAGGGGAGGAAATCCATCACACAGTCATCTTGTGCGTGGGAAATTAATGTCTCTTGCCCCTAACCCTGCAGGAGACAGGACCTCCATTTATTCGTCCCTATCCAAGAAGACCAGAATATCTAGCAATTTCTTGATATTATAGAGAGGTAGCATATTCTTCTCAATTATTTTAAGACCCTGAGTGTTGGTCTGGCCGGGGCTTGAACCTGCGACCTCCCACACAACAGTCCAGTGCTCTATCCATTGATCTAACCGGGAGGCGGTAATTTTTAATCCTTTACAACTTAACCTCAGCAAACCTGTTCTCGATATTGCTTTTCTCCATACATTTCTAAGGTGCTGAGTTCTAGGAAAATTTGTTTACCAGTAGAGAGCTTTTTGGTTGGTGATCATTTCCTTTATTCTTGTGACCATAAAATGCAATTTAGGGGTCTTATTGTAAGGAGAAACCAGACACTAGTCACTTTAAGGGATTAACATGTTAAATAAGACTACTAACTAGAGTGTAGGTGAAATACTAAATGAGTTCATATTAATGCAGCTGTTTCTCAGAATTCATGACATACCGCATTGCCTAGACTTGCGATTAGTGTCTGCATGGAGGGGTAAATTGAGCTATGAATATGTAATTGTCTAAAGGGAGTTGAAAGCAGCAATGGAGGGGGGGGGGGACACAGACACAACCTGTGGGTTAGTGTGTAGGGTACAAAGTGGACCTCTTTGTAATCCCAAGATTGCTGGAATTCAAGACACCAATGACACTTACACTCAAGATGTTTTGCCTCATTCATAGTTATTGTGATATTGACAAACATGTACAAGAAAGACTGAAGCTGTCAAGCTGCTTCTAAATATAGAAGGGGGACACAACAAATATTGTTATACAAATTTGTATGATAATAAAAGTTTTCAGAACATACATCTAATACAACAGTATTGCTCTCATCTCAAATATTATTATTATTATTATTTTATTACCATTATCATCATCATTATTATTATTATTATTATTATATTATCTCTAATGCATTGTATGTTTTTTTACTTTTCTTTTCAGTGGTCAAATTCTCCTGTTAATACTAGTCCACTTTCACATTTGAGCTTACGGGTATGTAGAAGAATTTTTCCACCTTTCAGTAGTAAAATCTGTTGCTGACACATCTATCATGATTGTACATTTTGAATGCCCAGCACTCATGAGGAACCTTCAAACTAATCCATTTTTCTTGCTTCTATATTTAAAACCTTAGCCCATTTAACGACTTCTTTCATGGCTCAATTTTAGGCACAGCAGATTGATCAAGAGATTGCCCAGAAGCTAGAGGAAAAAGAGAGAAAAAGAAAGAGGTTTGTGAAGAGGACACATTTTGCAATTTTATCTAATATTGGATTTCTAAAAGCAATATCATTTTGTACTTTGTGTAACAAAGAAAAACTAGAAAAACATTAAAATTTGCTCTTTTCCATTTACTATGAAAAAAAACCTGTTTTATGCCCAGCTGAAAACCGGCTTCTGTGTTTGCTTAAACATGAAGGCGCGCTATAAAAGGAGCCTTAGGTCCCACTGGACCATTTGTCAATCAACCGTTGTGTGATGTAGAACTCTTAGAGTCAAGTCAGCTTGTGCTACAGCTACTCCAAAGCAGTGAACAGCGGGCACATTCCTCAAAATTGTTTTATGTCTTCATCACAATACAAGAATTTTTGAGATTTGTATTTCCTTTCTCCAATGGAAACTGTCTTTATTTGTGGCGGTAAATTTGAGATCAAAGTAGGTGGTTAGCACATTACCTCATTGCCATCATGCTGGTGGAAGTAAACAATAGATATCTCATTAGCTCCATTTGTTCATCTACCAGCATTTAAATTTGACCCGCACACGTCAACGGTGAGTGACAAATGAGCCTAGGTCTTCCCAAGAAAGACTTCCTTATATAGCGCGCCTTTGTGTTTAAGTATTTCAACAGAAAGATTTATTGTTTGATCATCTTATCTAGTGGTATGCATGGGGAAAAGATGTTCCAGAAAGAAGTGTTGTTTTTTTTTTATTTTGGAGGGTGGAGTTTCAACAACCTAAGTGGAGATCATCCTCTTTGGGTTCATGTATTTCTTCACTTCTCATCAGCTGTTTGCCTGAAGATGTGTTGATACAGTTAGGAGAAATAACTTCTTGGTCATTCCTGGGAATTGAATTGAATTGAATTGAATCCCTTGTTTGATTTTTTCCAGGACTATAAGCTCTGACAGTGGAGATGATAACTTCTTCACTACTACAGCTGCCCCAGGCAGTGATGCTCAAGTAGATCACATGCTTAATATCATGGACACAGCTTTCAATGATGGTAATAATACCTTCCTGCTTTTTTTTTTTAACTATTCAATTTGAATTTTAAAAAATGTCTTTTGTGACTAATACACTTTTAATATGTATAAGCATGAAATTTAGCTGATCTTTGAAAGGGTGGCAAAGGGTATGTATATGATGGGTGATTAATGCCAAAATTGATATGTGACGCATGAATTTTAAAGAAAGCTGAGCATGATTCATGATTTCATGAACCTGTGAGAGGTGTGATTTGCCATCCCAAATATATGTGACCCATAATTTTTTTGTCTTTTGAGAAAATTTCAAGATTTCCCTGAAACTTAAGCACAATAAGAGAGTGATAAGAAGTGTTACCTTTTGTATAAAGGACATGTAAATTTTTCTAAAATTTGTGTGTGAAACGGGATCAGGCCCCCCCCCCCTCTTTACTTCCCTCCTCTGATGCTCATCCCCTTGATAATTTGTAAACCATCTAATTATCCCAAGGAGTTGGATAATTTAATTTCTTTTTTTCCTTTTTCACAGACTTAGCTTTGTCTGCTCTGCCCGACACACTCTTCACATCTCGTCAAACCAATTTTGGAGGAGCTGTAATTCCACAAGAGGGTCTTCAACAACAGCCCCTGACTTACAGAGCAAGAGGTAAAAAAATTACTTTGTATGCTCTTTTGCTCAACAACAATAAAAAGAAAAAAAAAATCAGTGCCTACAAAACCAAAATCTAACAAGATGTCTCAAATTAAACATTAAATTTAGTTATTTGTCACAGACATTTAACAGAAAAATACAGAAGTGAAGATGCAAGCATATTTAAGGATTTTTCTGCTCATTCTTTCTATTGCAGTTTATGAATCTGTGTGATTTTTGCAATCAATTAACACTTTACTCCAAAGATCTCATTTAATTCTCCTTACCGTCTGCCATACCATTCTTATAATGTTAGTTTGGAGAACTTGGTATTAGATCAAATAATCCTCTGATTGACATTTTTTATTCTGTCTTGGTCACTCATAGAAGTTAAAAAATTAAATTTAATTTTACTACTTTTTCTTTAGAAGCTCCAGATGTTTTTCAAGTTCCAACACTAGATAGCTTGCAGCCAAATTTAGACGAATTTATGGAGCATTTTGAAACCCTTACCGGTAAGCTGTCCTGGCCAAGCCAAGACTAAACATACTATCTCTTTCTTACTGACTATTAGCACGTGAATTTAGAAATATCAATGACCTTAGCATTTAGTGCAATTTTCAGTTCAGGAATTGCAGTGATGTTGCTCACTTTTCACTCTGAGTGGCCTGGAAAACTCACTCTACTCTCTCAACCAATCAAATTTGTGATTAAAACCAACACAACGCTGTCACACGCGTTTTTCTTGGACATCCAGTTGTTCGTTTCCGTTTTGAGTCCTGATTGGCTCCTTGTGTTTTTTCCTTTGTTCTAATTGGCTATTATGATTTCTTTGGTTTGGTTTTAAGACGCCCAGTCTAAAATCGCTTGATCAGAATTCAGTGCTAATTTTAGGATGCTTTCAATTTTGTAGGTATGCTGGTGAAACAAGGTGAACATGCAGGAAATCAGCCAAATTATGTTCAACAGAGTGACTACAATCAGTGCCAGGCTGTTGCTCCTCCCCCGCCAAACGCCACAGTGTATGTGAATCAAGGAGATCCATATGAGGCAACTGCCCCAGGACAAGATGAGGTTATGGATCATTCCGGAGCATATGAATCTGTCGCACAAGAAATGTTCCCAACCCAAACAGTGGACAATTCTCAATTGCGTCAGGAGGTTATGCAACCAGATGGACAAGTACTGATGGACATTTCCAGTGCAAATTCCACAGTGGACTTCAGTTATAACTATGGAAATGTACTGCAAGGAGGAAGCTTCACCTCACAGCTAGACCAAAGTAGGCATGTGCATGCACAATCACAGAGCGTACATGCGCAGAACAAGCAGCAGGTTGTTACATCACCCAGACTAGCTTCGCCTGTAGAACAGCCTCAGTTGCCACCTTACCCAACATCACCACCGCAACATCATCAGACTCCGCTGGAGGAAATTCAAATTCAAGCCCAACAGCATCAGTCTCGCGGAAATAATGTTATGTCCCCTACCAACCAGTTTGTTGGTAACGTAGATCCTTTTAACACGGCGAGGCAAATGGATGACTCGAACCAACAGAGGAAGGGACGGTTGCCTAGGAATGTATCCGATACACAGTTGTACACGATGGACTTGTCCCAACTGGGAACATCTTTCCACACAAATTTGTTTCCCTCTATGGAAAGTAATTTACCACCCCAGTTGGAAGCTCCTAATTTAGCGGCACATTTGCAGTCCATACAGCCACGCACTAGGATCCCTTCCCTACCAACAACCTCTAATCCCAAGCGGCCCCGTCTACCGAGAAACATGTCTGACTCTAAACTGAGCAGTTTAGCTCGCATGTGCAGAAGTCCGACATCACCTCCATCGCTACCCACAGTGCCTTCGTCGGAGATAGGAAACCAACCGTCGCAGATAGCAAACCAACCGTCGCAGATAGCAAACCAACCGTCGCATCCAATCGCTAACCCACCACATCCCTCAGGAAGGAAAAAAAGAGGAGGGTTTCCTCGTATCATGTCAGATTCATCTTTGTTGAGTTTAGGTCAACAGCCGCACCAACGCGCGCCTCCAGCTCCAGCAGCAGCACCAATTACATCGCAGCGCAGACGGAAGATGTCCACTCCAGAACATCTTGGAAACACTGTGGCTGCACTCTCATCTCAGTCTCCAACATTCACCAGCACTGCAGATACACCACAGTTAACAGGAAGCCTTACAACAAATGCAAATCTTTTAGAACAGTTGTTACTAGCACCTGTGGCTAGTCAAGCCCCAGCTGCTGAATCCTATCAAACAAACAACTCGGTGTTAGGTCAACTCCTCACTCAGCCATCTCCTTCTAATCCTGCAGTGCCTATGCAAACGAGAGAGACTGGTACCGTGAGTGGTACGCAAGACCCTTCTCTGCTGAATCAGCTTTACCAGTTGAAACAAGTGTTACACAAACAAAGCGCCCCAACAGAGCTGGTCAATGCATTGAGTACCTTAAGTAACACAGGAGCGACGCAAGCAACTCAGCACAAACAAGAACAGCCACAAGCTGTGCAACATAAAACTGCTCCTATGCAGCCATCACTCCAGATGAAGCCCCAAAATCAAAACGTTATCACTCAAGCCTTACAGTCCCTGTTGCGAGCACCGCCTAATGTAGCTATTCAACCCTCCACCTCCAGCAAACCAACAACACCAGTTAGTAACTTTACTTCACAATCGCCATTGCAAGCCGCGTTGATCACGTCAAACAGTGCACCGGTTCCAACTGTCACCATCAAGCACACGCCCCAAAATAAAGTTCCTGTGCCAGCTGTGAATCAAAATGTGTTGCCGCAGGCAGCAGTTATCTTATCTCCTCAGGGTAATCTGCAAGCTGTCCAAGACACACCGACTGGTCATATGAGTGGTGTACCTGAGGTGCCAACTTCATGTATGCCGCAGGTGGTGAATGTTGGACATCCCACAGTTCAGGGGCACAGGATTATTTTACCAGCGAATGTAAACCTGAGCACTTTGTCTTTGGCACAGCTAGGGCTTTCACCTGCTACGCTTCAGTCGGTGAGTAGAAGAGAAACCAGCGTAAACTTCTTGGCAAAGTGTGGCAATGTGATGTAATTAATTTAAGCTTGTTTTTCTGGAAGCCACGAAATTGAATGTCAACATCATGCCATCATATCTTAACACTCCATTCGCTTTTCAACGGCGTACGTGGGTTCGTAAACAGACTGCAATTGAATCCTATGTAGCATTCGTAAGTTTTATATTGAAACCAGTTTAAAGTTGTAAAGTGCATACACTTTACCATTATTTTATGGAGCATGCGCGAGCTCCGCCAGAGTACGTTAACAACCCACGTTCTGTTTACGTGCATAAGCATCAATGTGCTTAAAAACAGGCAGCGTTTGAATCTCTTTGAGCAGATAAGGCTTGCCAAAAGTTAACAGATTTGACCAATTTTTCCGTGTTGTTGGACTCTTGCAACCAAACCTTTTCCTCAAAAGGTATTTTATCATGTACTTTGATCGTAGCCCTCAGCGGAATTTGAACGCAAACTTATGTCGTTTCTCTAGAAGCTTACGTTCGAAGTTGTCTACTTTGCAGCGTTCTAATTTTTGCGCTGTTATGTGTCCTTTAGGTTACTGTCCCTGTGCCATCGAGCGCTGTTAATAGCTCCTCCCCTCTACAAACAGTTGCGACCATGAGCGCTGGAGCTAAGAATCCATTGGGTGAGTAACATACTACAATATTGTTTTATCAGTTTTTTTCTTTATAATGATAGGAGTCTGTACCTTTTACACAACGGTAGCAATGTCAAGGCATGTGGTTTTAAGTTCAGCGGATACTGAATTTAAACTTTTTTTCCCTCAGCTGTTACAGTGTCAACTGCTGGACTTGTCACAGAATCTCAAGATACAGGAGGAATGAGGCCAACAAAAACGCCTGTAAGTGGAACGAATCATCAATTCAACATACGGCTGGGAACACACCTTAGAATAGCTTTTCCCGGATGTTAACTCAGTAAACTGTGCGACAAAGCTAAAAGGAAAACAGGTTTGGGATAGGTCACGTGACCCGTTCGAAGCCCACGCGATTCGATCCAAGCCTCTCTCCTTTTTTTCGTTCTGCACCACTACCGCGCTTTAAATACTATCTGAAAGACTCGAATATGCTAGCCCCAAAAGATTAAATCCAGTTGACACCTGTTGACAAACCAAAGGGTATCCTGTTTTTCGTAGCACATCAGTCAAGTTGCAAGTCCATTTACTTAAGATTGTTTTTACCGTGTAGAGGCACAGAGATTCGGGTGAAAATTTTTCGTCGAGAATACAACACAGAAGAACCAGGGTTCCTCCCCCCAGACCTTTATAAATCCATAATCGAAGTGATAGGTAGATGTTTATAGGTTACGTATAGGTTGCGCAGACAGTCGGGTACCTTTTTAGCATAAAAACTTGACATTTCATGTTATTTTTGATACGAAGTCTCTTTTTTTTTTTTTAGCCGCCTGCCAAACAGACAAGACCTGTAACTGCAGAACAGCGGGAGCAGTACAAGGTAAGCTAAACTGTTTGCACTTGATGGGAGACCTGTTACAAGACTAAAAACTGTACAAGTATACCTCCTCAATTAATTCTAAAAATTAAAACTCTCGCGATATGTAATTTGGCTTTATGCAATGAGTTTATAATGTAAATTGGCCACCGTAAAAAGTTAAAAAGCTGACGTTTCGAGTGTTAGCCCTTCGTCAGAACTGTTGTCACCCCCACTGACGCAACATCACAGTGGTGGAGGGGGGGGGTGGGGAAATCCCCATCTCAGTGCCTCAGAGGTAAGCTGAGGTTCGCTGTTTCCTTACTCTGAACTGTTCAGCTCAGACGGCCACCGCAAACAGTATAATAGTAAGGTAATTTGGTTATATTAACTTAGGAGTTTCTTTAGAAACTTACTCCCTTTATACATTACTCGATATCCATTCCTACCAACTCCACAATCATCATTCAGATTACAAAGGAGATTTTGGTTTTGCTTTTACCATCGCTTCTCATAGAAGTGTGCAAATCAGTGAATTCCTTATGTTGAATTTCCTTCGGTGCAAAGTATGAAAAAAAGGGAATTCGTATCTTGAAATTGTGTCCGTCTCATCGGTGTGACTTATTTGATATAAATTAACGTGAAACGCTTTTTTCGCGCTGTTAGGAACACAGACGAATTTCGCACATCACAGCGGAACAAAAGAGACGTGGTAATATCAAAGTAAGTGTGAGAAGGAAAAGGTTGGTGGGTTTTTCAGCAGCTGACTCACCCACTCTGTCACCCAGCAAGTCAATCCTCAGTCAGCCAGTCATTTAGTTAGTCTGTCAGTTAGTCTGCCTGTCAGCTAGTTAACCAATCAGTCTGTCATTGGGTTGGTCACTCAGTCAGCCAGTCAGTCATCCTCCAGTTCTTGGTTTATTCCTTCTACTTTGTAGCTGGTGACTGTAATCAAGTCAGTAAAAACTTAGAATGATAGTAACGTATTGTGATCGGTTTGCTTTTGTCTAGATGGGCTTTGATCAATTGATGTCACTTGTACCGTCACTTGCCAGTCAAAGGAATTCCAAAGTGAGCAAAGCCACAGTTCTACAGAAAAGTAAGACTCGTTTACTTTTACTCTAGAGCGCTTTTCGATTGCTTTTCATCAAACCAAAACCGAAGTAATCGCAACAGTCGAGCAAAACAAAGGAAAATACCTTAAAAGAGCCAATAAGATATCAAAACAAGACCGATTAAACTTTATCCTTGAGCGCTGGAAAACGCTGACGACCGAGATATGATTGGTTTCAGTTTTTCATCTTATTGGCTAAGAGAGTGGCGTGAGTTTTCTGGACCAATCAGAGCAAAGTAAAGCAAGAACTAATCAATCCCGGATTAGTTTCGACACTTCTCAGTTTCTCTTAAGAATTTTTATGGAAATTAACAAATTCTCCCCAAACAAATCGTCATCAACTCAGTTTTACCATTCATCACAGTAGGCACATTGCCACAAGGTCGGCATTGTCTTGTGGTATCTCGTACGATTCCCTGTCAGTTTTGTCTGTTTCATTTCGTGTTGGTTTTTGTTTCAGCTGTTGAATATACTACCAAGCTGCAGCGTGAGAGACAAACTATGCAGGAAGAAGCTGAACTGCTCCGAAAACAGATCCAGGATCTAAATGCATCAATAAGGTGAGTGTATCTTTGCGATTAAGTGTTAAACCTGGCTTTTACTAGCGACGCAAGCACTAACGCAGGTATATCTTCTATTTCATCGTGAAAACAGCCTCGATGCAAGCACCAGCACGAGCACAAGACAAAGGAAAAATTATGATCCTTGTACTTGTACTTGCGTCGAGGCCGTTTTCACAGTGAAATAAGAGCTGTCATCTTTGCATTTGTGATTGCGCTTGTACTTGCGCTTCTAATAAAAACCAGGTTTTACTGTTAAACTCACCTCATGCACGGCAAGGCAGCAGTGTTATAATGATAAAATGAAAATATCAGTAAAAACCCAACTTAGTCCTGCGTTTAGTTCTGCATGTTCGCCATTGGCTAGAGTGGATTTTTTTGTGAATAGATATTTCTAGTTCCCTGGCCCTTTTGATTTTTAGAACCCCAACACACAAGAAGGAGTTTATTTTTTAGGCATGGAGAATGATTTTTTACGTGTTTCCTTTGTAGCATGTGTCAACAGCAGCTTCCGGCCACAGGAGTACCAGTTGCAAGACAGGTAAATCCTTTGATACACCATATCAGTCCTTGAGTCCGTTTGATACATCAATATTATTGTTCACTTGTTTAAAGTTCCTGGTTTTCCTGTGGCAGTAGTTTGCGTTTTTTTGTATCGCTGTCCTTAAATAAACGTCATATCACTATATTTAACCCTAGTTGTATCACTAAATGAGTTTAAATCGCAGCAGATGTCAGTACCACACAACTCTCCGTTAGCCTTCTTCTCTACCCTGTGTCTACACAAGCAGATAAAAGGGAAATAGGTGGTTCCTAGGGGGGATTTAATTTACAAACTGCATGAGTAATATGTTCAAACTTCCCCTTTCCTTACCCGTGTTTCGATAATTGAGGTTATTTTGTGGACAATCCAAGAGACCTCATAATGATCGATTTCGGATGTCATTTTCTTAATGTTTCGTAAGGTGAGAATTACTTAGTCTGGGTATGGTGGATGCACTGACTCAGTAACTTAGACTTCATTTAAATAAGGAGATAATATAAAGTTATTCCGTCGTTCTTTGGCAGCGTGTTGATCAAATGTGGTCCATGTTTAACCAGTACGTGAAGACACGAACACAAGACAACTTCAAATTTTGGATAGTATCCTTTTAAGACAATTGTCCTTCTCTCTTTATTTATTTATTTATTTATTTATTTATTCTGGGGGGAGGGGTGGATGTGCACAACAAGAGCAAGAATACAGGACTCCAATGATCCGGTGGATTTCATTAAGTTTCTGGTCACATCTTTGAGCAGAGGCAGTTCCTTCGAACTCTTCGCGTACCTGAATGACTTCCTTTACTCTTTTCTACGTACGCGATGCTTGCCTGTATTTCTACGGTTGTACAAAGAGGAACTGAGGTTTTCCTTGCCAGTGTTTTATGACTCTTTCTCATTCGTGCGGCTTTGAGCACCCGACTTTTTATGAGATAGAATAAATATATGAAAATCATATATTTTGAACTGTGGTATTTGATACGTATGATGCACGATCCTCGCAGTAGATAGCGCTATTTAAGCAATAGCGAAAATCAGACCTGAAAAAAATCAGGCCTGTACGGGACTCGAACCACTGACCTCTGCGATACTAGTGCAGCGCTCTACCAATTGAGCTAACAAGCCAACTGAGAGCAGGCCGTTAAGTTGATTCGTAATGAACCCGTGAAAGTGATAAATGAGATAGATTTATATATTTATTCTATCTCATTTATCACTTTCACGGGTTTCACGAAAGTGATTTATCACTTTCACGGGTTCATTACGAATCAACTTAACGGCCTGCTCTCAGTTGGCTTGTTAGCTCAATTGGTAGAGCGCTGCACTAGTATCGCAGAGGTCAGTGGTTCGAGTCCCGTACAGGCCTGATTTTTTTTCAGGTCTGATTTTCGCTATTGCTTAAATAGCGCTATCTACTGCGAGGATCGTGCATCATACGTACCTGACTTTTTATGTTGATTTTAAGAGGTTCACAAGTTCACAAGTTGAATACTGTACACTGATTGGCTCAGTTTCATTTCGCTGGTTAAAAAATTTCAACCACGCGATACCCCAGCAGTGCGGTGGTTTGACAATGAGTTTCTTAATCATGTGGTGAAAGCTTGAGTCTCGTATATTTGCTTGTTTTTGCTTGTTTTACACTAATTGTCCACATCTTTAACTCATCGTTCAGTTCAGCGTGCTGATGCGGCACCTGTTTGAAGAGTATAATAACACGGTATCTACAGCCAGTGTGGAGGACTTCTGTAGAACAGTCATTGCGTGGCTTGAACAGCACTGTTCTCTACCCGCACTGAGACCTGGTAAGTATTTGATGTTAAGTGTTTCCCTGTTTACTGCGCATGCCTATGTAGTGCGTTTACTGCGCATACTTCATTTTCAGCGTTTCTGCGCGAGCGTTTCTTCGCCGCGGTAAAGTTTGAGGCCTTGAGCAATGCTTGACGGCAAGGGTACTGGCACCAGGAACATACTAGTGCCAGACTCCCGGCAAACCTCTCCCTAACTCGTCTCAGGTCTTCCCTGAGACGAGTTTGGGAGCCCGCTCACGAAGATAATTGTTAAGTGGCTACCCTCATGTATTATGTAAGGAGTCACACGAGAAGCCGAGGAAGCCTGAGACGAGTTTGTGTGGCAGTTCTTTGGGGTACCACATGATAAATCGTCTTGTAACTTGGCTTGTTCGATCAAGGCTGATCTTGGCCTCGGTTCAAAAAACCTAGCAGGTAACCACCCATATTGACCTCGAGCTGAGTCAGTAACGCACATATATTTATCCGTTCTCAGCGGCGTTGTCCTCGTTACGCGACCTTAGTAAAGCGACGTCGATCTTGTCTGACCCGTCTAAAGTTCCTGAGCAGGCGCTGAGAGCTACGGCCAATAGAGATCCTACGGACTTGTCCGCCATGATTGCTCCTCCAGGTGCCAATGGTGGGGTCCGAAATGGAGGGGCGGCAGCTGGCTACAGTTGAAAAGGAGCTAGGCCCACTGCTCTCGTTAAATAATGTTTCTTTAGTCTCTGCAAGTGGCATCTCAACATTCTTTGTAAAATTGTCGGCGAGGCTTTCCATTGACCCATTGACACCTCTTCGATTTAGAAGGAAACTTCCCTGCTTGAGGCACTCACTTCTAACTGGCAGCCGTTCAGTTTATTGCATTATTGCTTTTTGAAATGATTAATGCACCGTGTGGAGAAACTTTTGCGCCATGACGTATATAGTATTCACTTTACGAGACGACCGCCGAGCACGTGGCCTTAAAATTGGTCACACTCCACACTAGTCTACATGACGCTGGAAGTCAGAGCTCAACTTGACAATCCTTTTGACTAAGGAACAAAAGCAAGAAATAATTTTCAAAAAATACCAGGAAACACTTTGAAGTAAAAAAGGACATGGTTCAGAAGGAGCGCAGCAAAATTTGTGTATTTGTGAATACGTTAATAAGTACGCTTCTTCGGCGTAGGAATGATGCTGTAGCTTTAGTATAGGAAGTACTGGAATGGTAGAACGTTGGTGAGAAATCAGCCAATGTAACAGTGGTTCTTTTTCCAAGTTTGATTTTAGTTTTGTTGCCAGTTGAAATATGAGTGATCAAGAGACAAATGTGGTGATTCTTATAGAGTGAAGTCTAAGATACAAAAAAAAACCTGCATAACCTACAGATAACGAATTGTCGTGTCCAAAACCTGTAGAAGATTCGTCATTATTTTAGATCTATTTGTTCCCAGTATTCCAGAATTCCAACACTAGCTATTGATATCCATATCTATGAAGAAAGACGAAACTATAACTTGTACTATAAGCAGATATTCTTGAGCTGTAGTCGTCAAAGGACGGCTTTTTTTCCCCTAGAGTAAGCGAATACATTCGAATGCATTCCCATAAGCGAATACATCCCAATTCTGCTATCCAAACTGTCGCGTTTGTACACCATTCTCAACTCTCAGTCCCAGGAATCTTTTAGCTTAAAGTTGAGGAGGAGGTCTGGGGTCTGGATTGGCTTGACGCCCGACTGCTCCCGTTATGATCCATAAGTTATCCATCCGTCCCTTTGGTAGGTCATGTATGTAGTTTAATATATAGCGACTGGATTTGTATTGTACATTGTATTTTGCCAGTCTATTTGTATTTGGTTTCTCTTTTAATTTTTTTTTTTATTATTTTTTTTTATCACCATCACCGAGAGAGAGTCATTGGTTATCAAAGCCTGCAACGGTACCATCTTTGACTTCGGGCTCTCAAAATATCCTCACAACAGTCACGTGTGATCACGTGCGTTTTCTAGCGCTTGGCTTTGTGACGTTTACTCGCTTCCACTTTTCATTGGTTAGTAATTATCCTCGTTTGTCCTGATTGGCTTTTGCTCATGCTTTGCTCTTGATTTATTGACACCTTATTAAAAACCTCTCATAAGAGAAAATAAGTCGTTGCAGCAGGTTTTCTTTCACCAGAGCGTTTCAAAATATAGTTATTTAAACTACGTTTTACCCACTCGCTGGCTTTGTCTTTAAACATAATTAAGACGAAATGAGCGACAGTTGTTTGGAGCTTTTGACGAGTCTGTGGTGAAGGCAGTTATTTAAAGAATTTTATTTTTCCTTAAAGTTCATTTTAAAATATCATTTTTTTCTGATCTCTGAAGTGATGACGTTAGGCGAGCAGTTCGATTCGCCAGCTTAAGGTCAATTTAACCCTCAGAGAATAAGCAAGATAATTTTAATAGTTCTCTATGTCGCACTTTAAATGTGTCTTTGGTCGATAATTCTGTGTACAAATGGCGACTTGTTTCAATCTCGTCTGCCGATTATCTGGAGAAAAGGACGGACTCCATAAATTAAATCATTAAACTTTCGTGAACTACCTTATTCAACATGTAAACTGCAGTTCACAATCTCAAACTTGTATTTGTTTTACGAGAATAGCTCTGTTTATTCAATTATCCAGGTGTAATCATATTGTCGAAAGTTTCTGCGATGTAAATTTCGCTTCTGGCTAACTTAGTAACTAAATTAGTAGTTTTATACTGAAGGTAAGGTGCAAATGCAATTTGCAGTGAGCTGTAAGGGGGAAAAAGGAATTTTTACAAAAATAAACTGCTTTTGTACAACAGCCTCTTAAATATATTATGCTGTTTCTTTTTTTAAGTTTAATTGGGCTAAGCCAGAAATAACGCATGGCTGGCTCAGACTTCTTAGCACTAATAAACTCATCTATGATAGAAAATATCACACGGAATTTTATTGTAGAGCACTTTTCGAAAGAGTGTCGTAAAACCAAAGTAAGCACAATGGCCATAAAAAAAGGGCCCATTAGAACAACCCAAATGCCCAAAGCGTGGCAAAAAACGCGGGTGGTCATGTTGTGATTGGTTTTAGTTTTGCATCTGATTGGTTGAGAGAGTGGCGCTGGTTTTTTGGACCAATCACAGAGCGAAGTGAAGCAAAAACAAAGCAATCTCGGATTTGATAGATTCAACACTTACTTGAAAATTTCTTTATCAATACTTCCCATTAAAACAAACAAATCGAGGCGATAATCGTTGTGCTTTCTTTGACAAGAACACTCTGTCAACACAAAAAGTTAGTACAGGACCAGCAAAGGAGAAAATGGACAGAGCAAAGAGTTTTTAATTCTTGGTTTAAAGGGTTTGTGCCCCTTCGCGCCCATTGCAGCTTAGCGCTGACGTTGAATTTTAAATGGACGCCTGTTTTTAGATAGCTGATTGGAAATCGTTTATGTTACCGTTTACCATTGGCTTTATATGATATCTATCTCGGTAATCCTGTTTTCGTAAACGGTTCGGAATCAAGCCAGTAATAACACGGCGTACGACAATCGGTAAATCAATGAAGTGGCGTAAGTTTACTCCATTGTTTGGAGAAAAGGTTAAAGTCAAAAGCTCTGCGTATCTAAACTGTACCTTGCGATCATAATGTTGATTATATTTCACAGGTAAGTCCGTGGTTTCTTTCTCTTCCTCTTCCTCTTGAAGTGCTAAATTTTGGCAAAAGTACAACGAGAGATAATTATTTGACGGCACCTTTGTGTTTTTGTTTAATCAGTGTCGATGTATTTGCCGACTTCTTTCTCACAATTACATTTCACCTTGGTCTTTCACATCATGTCGTCAAGATGCCGATTTTTTTCCATAATATATCGATTAAAAGTGTGTCTTGAGATGTTTTTATTGTGTTGTGTCCAACTGTTTGATTCTAGAGTCGAAGAATTGGCCTAATCATACTTTTCAATCCACCTACCATTCGATGGAATGACTTGGTTCCCGGGTGAAATTTCTTATTTGACAGAGACTTTGTCTGCATAAAGAAAATTCCAAGTCTGAACCCTTTCACCTGAATCACACATAAGGTCCCGAGAATAATGGAAATGATCAGCAACTGAAGAAGCTCTTGATTGTTTAACAAATTCTCCTCGTAAACACTTAAAGAAATTTATGGAAAATATACCACCTAGCAGCAAAAACGAAGCAAGTTGTAACTTGAATTGCACAAAGTGTTATTAAACGAAAGTTCCTAACATTGCTGATAGTAACAATCAATGTTGTTAGATTTTATCCGAGAAACCATCCTCAAGTGTTTCTGCTTGTTTTCTTGTTCGATTTCATCAGCCAGTTTGATTTTGAAGACCCTTTCAATTGCGTGAAAAAAGTTTGGACGGTTCACTTACGTTAAGTGTTAACACAGGGGCCCCACACAAGCGGAGTGTCTGGTCGTTTCTTCGAAATATAAAGAAATGTATGGGAGAATAGTGAAGAGTCGTAATATCGTAAACTTATATCAAGGAATGTCTATGTTAAGGCTCAAAATAAATGTAAACCTACCTCACTTGCTGTGTATTGTCGTTTCTGTGGTTCTAAATGGCGAATTTGAGCGATTTGGTAGATTTTGCGCTGAGTGTTACTTTACTTCTTCAACAGTAGGAAACCGCTATTGAATTGAAAAAGGGAAATTAACTTGGATAATAAATGACGCTTTTATCAAAAAATATTCAAAAAATGTAACTCCCATTTAAAGAAAGAAGATGCCTGAAAAGCACCTTAAAAAGCGGCATCTTTTCATTGCTTTAATTAACGACTAAATTACGACTTGGCGAAAACTTAAGTCGTACATATACAATAATATCTCAGGAAATTTTCTACTTGAAGCGCATGAAAGTCATAATTTTCTCAACTCGAAAATTTCTCAGTTCAGATAAACTAGAAACTAACTAATTGGGCGAGAAATATTTATTAGAAGTGATTTAAACCGTGATAGAAAAGAATGACTCTATCATTTTAAAATTTAACACGGTTTGTCGGTTTTTCTGACACTGTAATGACAAGATAAAAGTCAACAAATATTGCGGCTTTAAATTCAACAACTGTAGTGCGGCAGTCGGCAGCTGGCACAGGATGAATGTAAACTTGCCTCAGATTAGCCCACACGGTTCGTTTTGGATTACCTTCGGTTTTTTCTGAAAACAGCATCGTTCAAACGCGAGGGTCGTTGAAAGGGGCGAAACTTTGACAGCATTGTTGATAGAGATTTATAGAGTATAAAAGAAAACTCGAATGTTCTTTGTTTTGAATATAAACAACAAAATGACATTGTTTTTCCACTGTGATCATCACCTGCCATGATGTGCATAAAGAGAAGAATCTAATTGTGGTTTGAAAGATTACCTCAATTCACTTACTGATGGGGCAATTTCCGCCCAGTGAAGACTGCAGAAAACAGAAAATGCGAAGAAATTAACGCATATCAGGTGACGTTTATTTAAGGATCCCTTCTTGGTGCCAAATTGACGGCTTGGTTCGAAAACAGCTCTTTTTCTCCGGCTTCTTTTCAATCACTGCAAACAAATCAACAAAAGAACTGTGTTTCGTGCAAAAGAAACGAGAGGGAATCAATTTCAAGATGGCTGGAGAGGTCATTCACCTTGCCAGTGTGATTTGTCTATCCATCCTATCTGTTACCACAGTTTCAAGCAACCTTCTTCTTCTTATTGCTATTTGGAAAGACCCGCTCAATTGTTTTGACTCTCCAACGACGAGTTTCATTGTCGGTATAAGTTTAGCTGACCTTATAACCTCTCTCACGACAGAGCCGTTCTTCGCGGCGTATTACTATGTGGCGTACACAAATGGAAGAGACGCAGTCAATGATGGTTTACAAACGCTCTTTACGGCAGGAAGCAATATTTCTACTGTGGCTATCTGTTATTCGTTTCTGATCGTGTTGGCTTTGTCGTGGTCCCAGTACATAGCAATAAAATGTCCACACAGTTTTAAGAAAGTCGTCACTAAGAGAAACGCCATTATATTCAACATGCTAAGTTTGTTTTACTTGTTGTTCTTCATGAGTCTTCAATTTGGGGGAATCATGGATCAATTCACTTTTTTAAAACTCAATCTGGCCATAAACTCTTCTTTTCTATCTATTAACTTGGTGGTGGTTTTGTTTTTGTTAAACGCAGCTTTCCGACGTCATTTGAAGAGAAAACGCGCGTTCGAACATCCCGAGGAAAGCTATTCGCCGAGAAGCAGTCGAAAATCCCGCCGCGAAAATCTACAGCAGCAGTTTACAGCAGTTGCGATGTATTTAGCTGCTATTTTGCTCTTATCCGCTCTACCACATGTCATTACAGCTCAAATATTCCTTTATCTATCAGAGGAGCTATCTCCACAAGCCAATAGAAATCTTCAGATTGCTCTCGAAATCTCCGATCTGTTGTTGTTCGCAAAAGTCTGCTTAGACGCGTTTGTGTATGCATGGCGTCTACCAACCTATCGTCGAGCGATGAAGATACTCTTTTTTCGGCGGGTAACGGAGAGGAGCGGATACATCAACGGGAGACATGTGAATCGTTTTACAGAAGTTTCGCTTTCTCCGCAGTAAAGGTATCAGGTAATGGGGAACCTTGACTAATGTCATTTTGGGAAATAATTCAAATCTTTAACACCAGTAAATAAAAGTTAAGCTTTTTCAAAAGATTATTGATCGAAAATCTTATCGGTTGATCGAGAAAATACAGGAATATTTCTACTGTTGAAAAGCAGGATATATTATTATTTCTTTGGGCAGTAAGTTAATGTGTTCAGGTGATTATTATTGTAAGAAATATTTTGAATTTCTATAACAAGTCGTTAGTTGTAATAAGTGTTTGTCCGCTTTGTTGTTTGGACAGTTTGACACCTTCACTTCAAATACAATTTATTGCCACTATTTTACCAAGGTCTGTAGATGTGGAATAAAAGCCAGTGGGTAGTGATTCATTAGTGAGATATTTTGTAACAAAAAGAGTTTACATTTTACGATAGAAGAGAACGTTTTTGATTTAAGATCATTTAGGTGACACCCGTCGCTTTCCACGTCTCTGTAATGATTAAAAAAGATCACATCGCATCAGAGGAATCGTGATAACAAACAAAAACGTTTTGTGTTAGAGATCGCAGTCGAAGCTATAGGAAACATGTCCTTTTCTTCTGCCCTTCCTTTTTCGGGAAATTCCGTCTCCACGATTTGTTCCGTGGAATCAACGAAGCTCTCATCAAAATTACCCGTCAGTGTGAAAGTACAACATGATAATTTAAATATTTAATCACACTTAATTGCTTCATCGTCGCATATGACTGGTCAAACAGATAATTTGCAGAATGCAAGAGAAAAGCTTGGCTCTTTATTTATAATTTGTTTTCTGGTGTACTTTAAAAGAACGGCCTTTTCTTAAATTTCCAAAAAAAAATTTGAAGGGAAAATATCTATTACATCTGAGACGGGATTTTTCGAAAATTTTCACCGAGCTCGAGGAGAGTAAATGGTTTTTGTATATTCTCAAGTTAGGGTCAACTGAGCTGTGTTTTCTGACATTTTCTCTGTTTTTCTTTTTCTCAGAACATCGAGAGATCGTAAAGCGGCTATTTTGAAAAATGTTTGCTTTAATATTATAATCGTCTCGTGCTAAGTGGTAAAAATGCAATAACCGTCAATTTGCGCGAAATTATGCAAACAGTAACCCCCATTTGGCGCGAAAATAGGCTCGGAAATTTGTCCGCGGACTTTATCTGTTTCGAAAAGCGAACAGATTTCAAGAGAAAATCTCTTGAAAACTGTGAGCTGCAAGGAACCAAGTGTCCAAGGACAAATATAAGAGCATATTTTAGCCTCAAATAAAGCCTACTGTGTTAAATATTTATCAAATATTTTTGCTACGCAGAGGAAAAAAATATTTACGAACAGCGTACCGTCTGCTGTGTGGGATATTTACTTTTCAGTGTTCTCTGGTACGACTTCATGACGAAAAAAAACATGTTCCTTTCTCTGTAACAACAGCTAAACGCTTTCTCATCTTGAATTAAACGTTAAATGAAGACTTTTTTCGTATTGGATCAAGGGTTTGCAAATTGTTAAATATCACTTGAGGTGTATCACCGGATTTTCACCAGTACTCAGTCACTTGATGCGTTTCGACCAATCGCGCGAGAGAAAATAAATAATTGGTAGATTATATTCAATCGATAGTGAAGCAAGATATTCTGTTAGCCTCGACTAATCACCTATAGAACGTGCATGGATTAATTCGGCGTTTGTCTTTTTACTCACTTGTCTTGCAGAAGGGTGAGTCGAGATGCGAGTCCACTTTATCTGGAGACAGCGGTAGCTCTCTCTAAGATGTCTTAAGCCGCGATTAATATAGCTGAACATCTTTATCAAAGGGTTTTATTCAACCAATACTTAATTAACCCAGTAACTCCCATGATTAACAGGTAACTTCTCCCTATAATATCCAAACATTATTCAGCACAAACTTAACAGGTAGAAGAAAGGCTGAAAGTTTCTAAAGAAACTGTGGTGCTGCGTCGGTGGGGATAACAAGGTAATTTGGTTATATCAACTAAGTTGAAATTGTAAATTGGCCACCGTAAGGCAACGGTTTATCCACTAGTGTGTATTACAAACCTACAGACTCACATAGTTACTTGTTGTATTCACCTTCGCATCTATCTCATGTTATGAACTCCATTCCCTTTTCTCAGTTTCTAAGACTTCGTCGTTTATGTAGTGATGACTCTGATTTCTCCCACAAATCAGAGTCAATGGGCCAGTTTTTCGAAAAACGTGGTTACCCTGTTTCTGTCGTTCAAGCGGGTCACCACCGCGCCCAACTTATTGATCGACAGTCAGCACTACAAACGTCACAGAAGGAAAATTCCGACCGCATTCCCTTCACTCTCACGTTTCATCCTCACAACCACTCAGTTAAATCCATTATTCTTAAAAACTTTAAATTACTTCAAAACGATCCAGAGACTCCG